CATCCATTAAAAAACTTGTGGATATTTGTTTTCTCACCTGTTATATTAAGTACCTAAATAGTATCTCAGTTTTGTCACTTAGCTCACAAAGCCTATACTATTTACTTTCTGTTCCTTTATAGAAAAGTTTGTTGATCTCTGGGCTAGAATTTCTAAACTGAAGTTAAATGGAAGCTAGTTAGAATGAACATACTTGTCTTGTTCTTGAACTTAGGGGAAGCTTCAGCCTTTTGTCATTGCGTAGGAAGTCCCCTCTGTTCTTCATGTGTTGGGAGTTTTATCAAGAATGGGTGTTAGGGGACCAGCAGTTAGTGTAATAGCTATGTCGCTGAACTCGCATGTAGTCGACCATGGTTCGAATCCCGGGCCTGGTGGCTTAAACGCGCGCTGGGCAGGTGTGCACGCGTGCCCAAGATCCCGAGAGGAGAATGGAGGAGAAGGGATTGCGGCGTGGCCATCCCCCCTGGGGGGTGATTTCTCGCTTTCTGTCTCTGTCTCTCTGTCTTTCTGGCGTGCCCATTGCCCCTATAACAAAAACCTCTCCCCCCCCCCCAAAAAAAAAAAGAATGGGTGTTGGGGCTTATGAGGTGGTTCAGCATCTATTGAGATAGTCATGTGACTTCTTTTTCAATTTGTTAAAATAGTGAATTGCACAGATTCTAAGCTAGTCGGTGTTTTTTGTTTTGTTTTGTTTTGTTTTTAGTTTTGTAATAGGGTATGTGCACTTGCCCAGAGAAAGACAGAGAGAGAGGGAAAGTGATAAATCATCCCCCAGGGCCATGCTGCAGTCCCTTCTCCTCCATTTTCTTCTTGGGATTTTGAGCACTCACATGCATATGTCCAATATGTTTTAAGCTACCGAGGCCAGGACTTGAACCACAGAGTTGGCCATGTGGGATCCAACCACCTTAACCTCCATGCCACCTGCTGGCCCAGTCAGTGTTACTTTCTAATTTTTACGTAAAAAGTGATCATTTACTGCCTATGTTATTTAATCTTTTTTATTTTGCTAACCATACATTGTATTGCTTGCTCCATGGCAATAAATATCATCTGTGTCATCATTTCTAATGGCCGCATTATATTCTGTTGAATAAATGCCCCACACTTTCATCCCAGAATGGCTCATTCCAGATTTATCTTGCCGTCGATTATTAGTAGTGAGTGGTAGTGGGCATCTTAAGTGCCATGCTGGGAAGGTTCTGAGATGCCGTCTGTCTCAGCTCAGCCTGTCTACCAGGGCTAGGAGACTCGCCTGCACTTGGCAGGAGGTGGCTGTGGGGATTCTTCCAGCTCTCTTTGTTGGACACATAGCATTTAAATTGTTTCTGATATTTTAATATTTATGATAAGACTTTGCTGTATATCTGGATTTATATCTTCTTATACAGTTATCTGGTTATTTCTTTCTTTTTTTTTTTTGGGAGAGGCTTTTGCTATATGGCGCTTGCGCTCCCCAGACAGACAGAGAGAGACAGAGAGACAGAAAGAGAGAAATCACCCCCCAGGGGGGATGGCCATGCCACAATCCCTTCTCCTCTATTCTCCTCTCAGGATCTTGGGCATGCACGCACATGCGCCCGGCGTGAGTTCTAAGCCACCGGGTCCAGGACGTGAACCGCGGTCAACTACGTGGGAGTCCAGAGACATAGCCATTATGCTAAATGCTGGTTCCCTTATCTGGTTATTTCTTTAGGATAAATTACTAGCAGTAGAGTTTGGAGGTTAGTGATTAAATTTTTGAGAATTTTTGATATAATGCAAAGTTATTCTCCTGAGAAATGGTCCCAGTTAACATCTTTTCTATACTTACATGTACACCTGACATTATTACTTTTTTTATTCTGATGGGTGAAAATGAAGGAAATGGAAATTAAAATAAGGTATCTTGTCCCAGCTGTGGTGGTGCAAGTTGTAGGACTGCTGCCCGAGGTTGGGGTCACATCGCAGTCCTGGGTTTGGAACCCAGGACTTGAACGTGGCCTGGGCCAATCTGAAGAGGCCAAGCACAGTAGCATGTTCCTGGAATCCTAGCTAACTAGGAGCTGGGACAAGATCACAATGGCAAGACCCAGTCAAAAATGCATTTCTTGGGACCAGCAGTTGACGTAATGGCTGTGTCACTGGACTCCCATGTAGTTGACTGCAGTTCGAATACAATGTCATTCTAATTTTAAAATGATATCCTGTTTTGCTGGCATGATTCCGCAACAATAACAGAGATCTACTGTACTCCAATACCGTGCTAAATTCCCAGAGTGAACACAACACTTAAAATATCTCTGAAATATGCTAATAATATTTTTAACTCTCAGGATAAAACTGAATAATGGCTGATGGTTGATATTGCTCACCTTTACTCACTGCTCTCATTTAAAATTAACTTCCACTATCTTTTCTCCTCTCACGCTTGTGTATGTGTGCGTGCTCTCTGATCTCTCTCACACGTTGGAAGACAGAACAAAGCAAGGATTCGCAGCTGACTTGCTTTCCATCTGTGTACATGGGGCTCCCTGTTTTTATCCACTTGTGAGGCCTTTTCGATGTTGGGGACACTGCCCTCCTGGAGACTCATAGGATCAGCCTTCCGGTAACAGGCAACTTCATTCTAAGCCTTCACTTCTGAGTAGCCATTTACATCATTATTTAGGGAGACTTTTCTTTTTTTAAGGTTTTTGCCATAGGGTGTATTTGCTTTCCAGAGAGAGACAATGACAGGAAAAGTGAGAAATCCCCGCCCCCCCACCCACCCAGGGGCTGGCCACACTGTAGTCCCTTCTCTTCCAGTCTCCTCCTGCGATTTTTGGGCACATTGGGCACATGTGCACACGGGCCTGCTGTGATTTTTCAAGCCACTGGGTCTGGAACTTGAACTGCAGCTGTCTGTGTGGGAGTCCAGCACTGTAACCACCATGCTACCTGCCAGCCCTGGGAAATGTTTCTTTGCAAGCTAGTCTCAGACTGTTCACACCAATTTGCCATATTTGATCCCACAGTGCATCTCACTGAAGGCTAGCGTTCTTCAGTTCTGCAGGGACCTCGTGTTTCTGCCCCAGCCTATTGCCTTGTGCCAGCATTCATTCCTGCATAACTGGGCGTTCACAAAGCCTCTGTGTAGAGCCGGGCATACCCAGGACACATTCCTGGCTCTCATAGAGCTCATGGTCTGTAGG